CTTAAGTGTATACTCATGTGGTATGAACAAGTCTCAGGAATGAGAATAAATTTCCACAAAAGTGAGATGGTTCCCATCAACCTTGAGGATAATGAAGTTCATAGGCTAGCACATATTCTTTCTTGTTGTGTGGGAAAGTTTCCTATTAAGTACTTAGGCATCCCTTTACATTTTGACAATTTAACCAGAGAAAATATACAGCCTCTAGTTGACAAGATCATGAAAAAGATAGCAGGTTGGAGAGGGAGGTTTCTTTCTCTAGCAGCTAGAGTGGTCTTAATTAAATCATGTCTTGCTAGTATTCTAGTATACCTTTTGTCCTTTATCAAGTTTCCCAAGTGGGCTATTAAAATGTTAAACACACATATGGGTAATTTTCTCTGGGATGACTCTAAGAACAATCATAGGTACCACCTAGCAAATTGGGAACTTATCTCCATGTGCAAAGAGTTTGGGGGGTTAGGGGTCCCTAGCCTAAGGGACCTGAACATTTGTCTTTTAGCTTCATGGTTCAAAAGGTATAGTATAGATAGGGACAACCTCTGGAAAGAGGTGGTAGATTTCAAATATGACACTCTAAATCCAAATATTTTCCTTTCTAGAACTTCAAGTGCTTCTAGCTTCTTTAAGGGCTTCATGTGGGCTGCTCAGGCGGCCAAGATGGGGTATTTCTGGAAAGTGGGCAATGGGAGGAAGATCAGGTTTTGGGAGGACAATTGGTTAGGGTCCTCAAGTTTAGCCATACAGTTTTGGCCTATTTATAGGATCATTAATGAACACGGTAAGACTATTGCAGAGCTTTGGGATGGGCATAACTTGAGATGTACCTTTAGGAGAAATGTGAATGAGACCCTATACAATTCTTGGCTGGAACTAGTAGAGTTGGTCTCTACTATCCAGCTATCAGGGGAAGAGGATGAAATGGTTTGTAAGTTTTCCTCTAAAGGCACTTATTCTTCCCAGTCTCTTTATAAAGTCATAAACTTTAGAGGGATAAAACAAGTGCATGTCTCTCCGGTTTGGGGTATAAAAGTTCCACCTAGAGTTCATATGTTCTTGTGGCCTCTGATTCATAATAGAACTTTAACTAGAGTTAACTTGGCTAAACATAGAAAAGTGGATGATGTTCCTTGTCTGTTTTGTGACGAAGAGGAAACTTGTCAGCACCTGTTCTTTGATTGTGCTGTGGCTAGTAGATGCTGGATTGTGATTTCTGAGTTGTTTGGTTTTCAAGTTAGTATGGATATTATCAGTATTGGAAAGTTTTGGTTGAGCCACAAGAAAAATAGTTTAGTGAATATGATTACTGTTGCTGTCCTTTGGTCTATTTGGAAACTCAGGAATGAGCTTTGTTTTCAGAAAAATTGGATGGCGAAATATGGATGTTCTTTTCTACCAGATTCATGGGCTTCTTCAGAACTGGGAAGTTCTGTGGGGTTTTCTTGGATGGTGTCTTGGCTCCCAGACATTCCCAGAAGCGCGGCGCTAAGTTCTTTAGAAGCATGACGGATGGGAATCCTGAAGATGTCTTCCAGGCGGCTGAAAAGCTCTCATGGCTGTACCCTCTGAGCCTGCCTGGAGAGGGGATCTGATTTGCTGCTTGAATGCGGTTGTAATAGCGTCGTCTGGGTTTTCTGTTTAACTGTTTGGTTCAGAGCTCTTAGGCTCTTTCTTCTGAGGTTGCTTTGACTGTAAACCTTGGTGATCCCACTTCGGTCGGAGCTGGGCGTCCTTCTAGTTAAACTGTGCTGTAAACGGATCTGGTCTTTTTGATATATATGGCCCCGTTCGCGTGCCCTTAAACTCGGCTTGCTCCGCTTCTTTTTTCATCTGAAACAGTATTTTCCTCTCACAAATTCCTTCAGAATTTCTCTAAATCATTCAAATTCCTCTGCAGGCTTAATGCCCTAGAAACTCTAAAAAAAATTAGCTCTTATGTCTCTTGGGTAGCCCTCCAGATTACTTTTCCATGCACGTCGTCTTAACTCATCATACGTCCTTTTATATACGGAAATGCTAGTCATAGGGCATCAGGCGGCCCAGAGGGTGTTTGGTTCCACGAACTAAATTTTAGTCCATGTCACATCGGACGTTTGGATGTTAATTAGGAGAACTAAACATGAGTTAATTATAAAACTAATTACACAGATGGAGACTAATTTATGAGACAAATTTATTAAGCCTAATTAACCCATCATTAGCACATATTTACTGTAGCACAACATTGTCAAATCATGGACTAATTAGGTTTAAAAATTTGTCTCGCAAATTAGTCGCAATCTGTGTAATTAATTATTTTTTAGTCTACATTTAATACTCCATGCATGTGTTCAAACATCCGATGGGACAGGAACTGAAATTCGGTCTAAGGAACCAAAACAGGCCCTAAAAAAATCGAACGGTTACCTCCCCTCGTGCGCTCCGCCCAGCCCATCCTTATCCCTTCCTCTCTTTTCTTCCTGATGCAGACACGGACACAGAGACGACTCCACCTCGCGCTGCTGCTCGCTCGTCCTCGTCACACGCCCGCTCGCCACGGTCCCGCGCCGCCTACTCCATCCCCGTCGCCCGGTGGCTCCTGGTGGTGGTGCTCGTCACGCGCGCCGCCCACTCCTTCCCGTCGCCGGCGCTGGTGGTGCTCGTAGCGCATGCCCCCGCCCATTCTCTCCCATCGCCGGCGCTGCTGGTGCTCGTAGCACGCGCCCCCACCCGCACAAGCCATGCCTGGTGCTGGTGCTGGTGCTAGTGGGGCTGGCTGGTGGTGATGCTTTGCTTGCGCCACTAGTGCTAGACGGCCGGTGAGGTAGGTGGAGTCCTTCTATGGATGTGAGCCTTCCTCCTCCTCCTCTCTCTAGACCGAGCTCTCCTCTGCCTTCTCCTCCTCCTCCACCTCCTTTCTCTGGGTCTAGATCTAACGGATGCAGCGGTGGCTAGGGTTCCGGCGAGCCCTCGAGGGTCAGATCTCGTCGTTGTTGCAATGGTTCTTTTTCAATGTTGCAACAGATGATTTGGAATGTTGCAATGTTACTGTTTTTGGGTTGTTGCAACAGGCGTTTCTGATGTTGCAGTAGTAGTGCTTGAGATGTTGCAATAGCTTTTTTTCGTTGTTGCAGCAGATTTCCCCCAAATGTTGCAGTAGTAGTGCTTGAGATGTTGCAATAGCTTTTTTCGTTGTTGCAGCAGATTTTTTCCCGATGTTGCAGTAGCAGCGCTTGAGATGTTGCAATAGATTTTTTTTGTTGTTGCAGCAGATTTCCTCCGATGTTGCAGTGGATGTTTTTGAATGTTGCAACAGACATTTTTTTGATGTTGTAGTTTATATTTTTGTTGGTTGCATTAGATGTTTTTTCGATGTTGCAATAGCTTTTTTCGTTTGTTGCAGCAGTTTTTTGTTGTTGCATTAGTTGTTCTTTTGATGTTGCAATAGCTTTCCCCTGTTGTTGCAGCTGGTGGGCGGGCTATGGGGGCGAGTTGGCGGAGGTGCCGGGGCCGGTGAGGTTGGGGGCGGGGCAGATCCCGTGCGCCTGAGCGGCGGGGCATCTTCCTTGCGCGGGGAGTGGAGGAAGGGCGGGCAGGTTCCTTTCTTTTCCTGTGCGGTTTTCATTTCTTTCTTCCGTAGGGAATCCCATCGGACGTCTGGGCGCGAGCATGACCGTTTCATATATCTAATGTGGTTGTCTCTTGTTTTATTTTGTTCCTTATCTTAAAAAAAAGGAAATGAGGACGAACACCGTTGTATACAGAGAAATAGAACAGAGCTTCTTCCTTTTCCTTTTTGTACACTTGATTTTTCCCCGTATTCCCTCCCAGCCAATCGAGAGCAACTCTGCCCGTCGTCTCGGGCTGAACCTATTTCCTGAATCTGTTTCAAGGTTTACCACCGTCGCTGTTAGGCCCATCAAAACATATGAACCTGTCGTCACCTTGCTTCATCCTTCTAGGCCCACCAATTACTGACCTCCATGTTTGCTATCCGTGTATCATTCTTGTCCATTTTACATGTCGTTGCACAAAATTGCCGAGGTTGAGCTGCCCATATTATTCAACCGTGCATGAAATCCTTGATAACGGTATAGATCTTTATGGTGTCGAGGTTGAGCTGCCCATATTATTCCACGGAGACAAACCACGTAAACTTTTCTTTTGGTCGGAGTCCCATATGGATTGCTTACGAAGAAGGCGCTTTTCAGGCTCTATGTTTTCTCCAGTGCATATATAGCTTTTCTATAATAGATTATAGCTCCCACAGTCTACTTCAGTATAGACAGCTTGCACACGCCCTCTTTCCTGTTGCGAACAGAGGTGCTCAGCTTGCACGCATGATTATTACCTCCTCACAGAACGGAATGCCCCACTGTGCGTCCATCCTTGCCCGCGCTGAAGAATTGTTACATGATATCGATAACATGCGGCCATGCTGATATTTGCGCTCCTTTTTTAGCCTATGTGAATTTCCCATATCTTACTATTACTAATTGGAGGCCTCAACGGAGGCTCCACGTTAATTCTCACCAGACGTACTAGAAAAAAGATAAATTATAGAAATTCTCACAGTAATTAGAAAGATCTAGCCATCAATTTGATAATTGGAGGCTCTAACAGAGGCTCCACGTTAATTCTCACCAGACGTGCTAGAAAAAAAAGATAAATCATAGAAATTCTCACAATAATTAGAAAGATCTAGCCATTAATTTGATCGCTGTTAATTTTAATAGCCATTAGATCTATTCAGTTTTTCTAAAAAATTACCCACCTGCCATTATGAAAATCACGCATAATAATAATAGATCTAATTGAAAAGGAAAACATAAATTATATTGTCATCTCATCCTATCTCACGTGGTATTAGCCAAGCCCCGGCCGCCGACGCCCGACGCTGTCGCAGCCGCCGGCCATAGTCACGCAGCTTCAGTCAATGAGGGATCGACCTTCCAATCCTGCACTATGCTACGTCAGGCTTCCCTCAGTCACGTCGATCTTGCCTGGCTTCCCTCCCAATCATGCCTTGCCGTTTCTTGGAAGCCCCTGTGATCGGCCTTAGAAGGGAACCATGGAAGTGCTTCGACGCATGCACCAGGGTGCTGCTGGCGTTCCCGCTCTGTGTTCCCGGCACAGCCTTCTACAGATGCATGCAGGTAAACTAATAATCATCTATTATCTGTTACTCTGTTTGATAGATCACTATCTGCCTAGACTTTGATAAGTGACAATTTTTGAGTTATTTGATTCATCTCTTCAGGGACGCAAGAGGGTCACGAAGATGTTGAAGGCTAGGTTTTCATTATCGGAAATAAAAATTTATCGGAGGTCATGGATAGATAGGATAAGCAGGATATATCGGAAATATCGGACCAAATTAAAAAAAATCAAATTGTTTTGAAAAAAATTCATAGAATTTGACTTGAAACTATTCCTAAGCTATTAAACATCACTTGTTCACAGATAAAAACAAGAACAAAACATTATAGTGTGGGACCGTCGCACGGCTGAATTTGGGTTGTCTGTGTGGGAGCAGGAAAGAAGGAAAAAATTTGGCCGATGTCAAATTTTATCGGACCTGTGGATAGAACGGAAATTTCCGTGAATTTCGGCCGATAAAAAAAACCTTGCCTGAAGGAGCAGCTCGGTGCGCGCAGGAACAACCCAGAGCTCGAGTCAGTAGATTTCTTCGATCTTGTGATCCACGAGCTGCACAAGCCAGACTCTGAACTGAACGAGAACATTGTGCTGGATTTGCTGTTTCTGATGCTCTTTGCTAGCCATGAGACCACGTTTATTGGACTGACCGCGATTCTCATGTTTCTGACAGATGACCCCAAAGCATTGCAGGAACTAATGGTAAGCAAATTGTTGGGTCCAGACTCCAGACCACAAATTGAAACTGTTGTCGTCGCAAAGAAGGGTAGATCCAGACTCTGAAATCACCTGGGAAGAACACAAATGTATCAAATTTACATCTCATGTATGGCCGTAACTGTCAGAGATTGATGTTATTACAATGTATGTGCTCTGTTTAATAGTCACTGTGTCATCATTTAAGCTAAAGCTATCGTCTAATGGCAAAACATCGATATGCTGTAGATATTACAATGGAACTGAATGTTACTATTATGTTCATGTAAATTTGTTAATTAATATTTACAGGCACCATACCTAGGTCCAGAAACTCCAGATAGGCTTGCTGTGTGAATATGTCATACCATGACATCCTAGCTGGATTGTGTAATCACTAACTTAAGAAATTATCTATTTTCACTTTTCGATTTCCTAATCGATCTCCTATTTGAGCTTGAACATACAGGTTTCATATATAAACCAGTAACCGAGCTAGAAGATGTGGCAAGCTGGGTTATTATGTTTTGGACGAACTGGTGCTAGACATCCCCACAGCTAAACCCGGTGTCCTTTGTCAAAGCATGGGTCGAGCTACAGGCATGCTGCTCTTGCTGCACGCGTGAGCTTTGGCGAACGGCGAGATCTCTGTCTACATTGTTGGCATGTCACTACTCAGCTGCAGGTATGCTACATTGCTCGCTCATACTACCACGCATCCGTGCCAATCTCTACTCCGCAGTTTTGGTCATCCACATATGCAAATTAAAGTAAAGAACAAATACATCCTGTCTATACATAAATCATCCCATGTTTATTATTAATAAGATTGAAGGAGGGAAATAGATGATAATATGAGACGAACTATATCTGAGGAAGAGAAAGAACAACGCTAATCTCCATATATTGCTATATTTTGTTAGCACGTAGGAGTAGAGTTTATTATTTAAAAACAGATTCGGTAATACTTTCCAACCGATGAGGAATCATATTTAAATCGCATTACCAAGTTATTTAATGATATCCATGTACAATCCATAAACATGTTACTAAAGTATTTTATTAGTATATGAACATAAGTAAATAAATCAAGTAAAATTTACAAAAAATAGTATATAAAATATTTACATTGACCAAAAGTTAAGGGAGACTCCACGTTAATTCTCACCAGATACACATTAGAAAATGATAAATTTTAGAAATTCTCACAATAATCAGAAACATTTATCCTTTCATTTGGTAGACTCTAATCATCATCGTCAACAATAAACATTTGATCTATTTGTCTTATAAAAAAATCCACACCTACCATTACGAAGAATGCATAAAGTAACTCTCTAATTTTGCTTCTAAACTACCCACATCTGTCATTACGAAAAATAATTTAAAATCAATCAACTAAATTTGTATCTAAACTACCCACTTCCTCGATTATGAAACATAATTCAAAATAACTCCCTAACTTTGCATCCCAACTATACACCTATGTCATCAGAAAAGATAATTTAAAATAACCAGGTAATATTTTATTTGTAAAATTATCCACATGTGGCATTAGGAAAGATAATGCAAAGTAACCCAGATGTTTGCATCCAAACTACCCATATATGCAATTATGAAGTAAAAATGTAAAATATAAATTATCACACTTAATTTGTATCTAAATTATGCACATCATCCATCCAACAAAAGAAAATACAAAAATATGTCTGAGATCTACATATAAATAATAAAATAAGTTGTCAAGAAAAATCACTTAATATCCATAAAGTATGTGGTATATACTCTAAATTACACACTTCTACAATTGTTAAATTAAAAGTAAGCATGATTATACGTTCCACCATGTTGACCACATAAACATATACACATTAGGATAAATGTTTATTTTAGTAGTTTATCATGTGTGTAAAAATGTTTATAAAAAAGGTGTGTAGAAATATTCCCTTAACAAACAACATAGCAAAGCCACTGATAATTAACTTTAAGTTACATTAATATTAACACTCTTTGATATATAATAAATTCCATAAGTTGTTAGTCTCATTAGCTTTAAATTTTTTGGCTAAAACATAATGTCTTATCAATATTGGTAATTTAGTATTAGGCATTTTGTATTTTATAAAACAATGCTACTACAAACAAAATTATGGGATAGTGCCATGGAGCAAGGTGAAACAACTATTTATACAATAAGAACTGAGAGAGTAACCTAGGACATATAATCTTTTACAGTAAAAAAGTTGAAAATTGTTAATTAATAAAGTATAAAATAAGCACTAGAAATTCAACTTAACATATGGAGAAAAAGAATTGCAATACGTAGGCTAAAAGTTTAGTTTAAGATATAGGTTCATGATGGAACACACAAAGGTATGGAATAATAGCACATATAACACAATCTTAGGTTTCCACTAAATAATAAAATCTATAAATTGTAAATAGAGGTCTCCAATGAAGCCTCTAAGTTAATCCTTATGGGCCCACTAGAAAGCAGATAATATCTAGAAATTCTCACAAAAAATTAGAAGCATCTGGCTACGGATTGTGTAGTAATAACGATATGGATCTATGCTATTTTCTAAATAATTACCCATGTCTATGAATGTGTAAATCAATGTAATGTAACCCAGGAATCTTTATTTAAATTAACCACTTATGCCATTAGATACATAATATATGCAACCCCTTAAAAGTACATCTAAATTACTACTTCTGACATTATTAAATCTGCATAAAAATTATCAATATATTGTATTGCAAAAAAAATCTAAATAACCATAAAGCATATATATGTTCTACATTATGCACATCTAAAAATGTCAATATAATAAAATTTGATTAATGTACATGCACGTCAAATACTTATGCATACGTTAGAGATAAATATATATGTTAGGTTTCTGCAATCATGGAAAAAGATTTCCTACACTAATGATACTAACAAACTATTTAGAATATTAATAACCATGACATATAATTTATATAAATTATTATTTTGATAATCTATACACTTTTTTTAAAGGAATAATCTATACACTTTAACTAAAACATTTGACATATATTTATTAATAGTATAACCATTACTGCATAAATAACTCTTTGGCAATAAAATTCAAATGTCGTGACAAGTGGGGAGGATAGTGCAGACTAATGTAGCTATATCTTCCTATTCTTTGAGATTTCTTTGGTGCAAATAGTCATTATAAGGCTTAACATTAATATCCTCTTGAGGTTAGCACAACTATCCATCCTAGATCTCCCGTCAAGCTCTAAACTGATCTTAAGCAATGTGGTGTAGGTTTAAAGTGACTATTTAGGCTACCATTGTAGTTAAGAGTGTAGTCTATGACCTAAAATCCTTATGTAGCCATCAATTAGGCTAATAATTGAAAATCAAAACTTAGATTCATGATATCGTAATATATAGATGAAAAACATATCGATCAATAATTGATAAGTTTACCACAATTAAATAGACACTTTAAAGTATCTGGTGTTCCTATTGTGTTAGAAAAGGAACAAAGAGAAAAAAGTATAATTTAATATAAGTACTATTTATCATTGAGAGACATTAAACAATAGCTAATTCCTATATCTCTTATCTCTTATAAGATTCTGGCCCGTGCGAGAGCACGGGTTGATGGACTATCCAAAAATCGTAGTTCTTGTGACCGTTGTATCCCCTTTCTAAAGAAAAAAATAATCCAAATGTTTTTTTTGGTTAACTAGTTTTTAATTAGCCCTACGAACACAAACATTTTATGTTAAGAAAAAAAAAGAGGGGGTGTGGGCCTGGTCAATTCAAAACTTTCCAAACTTTTGTCTTTCCCTTCTGTTATTTTCATTGCATTCTTAGTACTCCTATAAAGTAAAACCCCACTAGTCTAATTCTCTAGCATATCCTTGAGCCACGTCATCAAAGGGTCCCACAAGTCACTAAGCTCAAAAAAAATCCCACTATGTATTCTATCTTGCACCACAGCGTTCCCTCATCATTGTAACTGGCATAACCTTTCCCCTTCACCTTCTCGGTCCACCATCAAATTCCCATGTACTGCCATATCTTGCACCACAGCGTTCCCTCATCATTGTAGCTGGCATAACCTTTCCCCTTCACCTTCTCGGACCACCATCAAATTCCCATGTACTGCCATATCTTTTACCCACTTAAATAAAGTTGTCAGCTATCGAAGAGCCATAGCAACGGAGCAGGCATTCCTTTGCAAATGAAAGGTCGCTGCCTTGCTGTCCTCCTATATATGTCACCTTGCCCATGTGGTTCAGCGCAGCTCTCTCCACTCTACACCCTGTAACATCTTCCCCTCTGCTCATTCTCATGACAAGATGATCCTGCACACCACGCGTTTACATGTTTGCTCCTCTAGCTCTTCCGTGCCATGCTGGTGGATCACTATTGTTATCTGCATGCTTGGTGGATCATGAGTTTTGTTTGTCATTAGGTGATGCAGGCCTTGGTTCCTCAGATTAGCCGATCGTTAGTTGTTCTTGCTGGTTGTACTTTTTATCCATACTGTTCTTATTGTGTACCAGGTAGATAGACACCATATATTTATTTGAGTTCATGAAAGCTCGGGAGGTAACAACTTGCATCCAATATTGTTTTCCCTCAAACAAAATACAATATTTGTAATCAATCCAGCATTTGTGTTACATAGATATCCCGCAACAATGCGCGGGGAATTCACCTAGTTCTTAGTATACACAATTACAAGTTGGCGCTGCTTTATGGAGATACCCACTGAAGTAGAAGACAATAATTCATGTACGTAATGCTCTTCTCCCCTTTTATGCTACCTTTTCTTTCCTTCTTGTGCTCTCACATATACTTTACATATGTGTAAACTACAACTTCGCAGCTCCTGCTTCGGCACAGTTGGTCACCGCAGGTGCAGGCCTGTTGACATCGGAGGTGGTCCGAATCACACATCAGCAAGGGCCTTTGGACGCCCGGGCCGCCACGGACTGAAGAACGCAGCGAGGATATCACCCTTACGTGGTGAAGCACGGAGAGGTTTACAAGCAAACCACCAAAGGATAACTAATCGTGCTTACGTGACGAAGAACTGGCTAGTTTTCAGGCAAACTAGCAAAGGAACCGTCGAAGCTCTCGCCCGGGAGGGACCCCGTCAGGGCAAGGACGTCGCCGGGTTGCCCTAGGTCGGACGGTAAGCCTAGGGCACCATCCTTGATCGTCGGATCAAGGGATGAACAGCATGAAGGTTGGAAGAGATAAAGGGGCAAATGAGTTGATAGATTGGTTGTATGCCAATTGGATAGATGGGACTCAATCGGCCATGTACCCCTTATTTTATAAGGGGTAGGGTGGTCTTATC